TTAGCCTTGCCATTGCCCATTGCACGCATGAAGGCAACCTGCTCCGGCTCCCACAAGTCCATAGTGCAGCTCTTCACTTTGCTCACGTGAACACCGAGCTGTCGATGCAGTCCGCTACAACGCAGGCAAATAAAAATGCCCAAGTTGGTGCTGGCCCACATCGGGTTCCGCGCCTGGCAGTCCATGCATTCCTGGTTCTCCTCCAGCCGCAGCAGTTCGCACAACATGCGGCGGTGTCTCTCACGCATCTCCTTGGATTGATTTGAGATGGAGGCCATGAATGCGTTTGTCAGCACTTTCCTATAAACGCTGCCAGTCACGCGCCGACAAGAATTGAAAAAAAAAATAATAATAATAATTTCATTTCATAAATAGTTTAAAAAAGAATGAAACTGCCGAAAAAAAAAAAAAACGGCTGACACTCCGTCACCACGCACACGTACCAACACCGCAAAATACCCACAAGCCCCCCTCCCCTCTCTCCCCCCTCCAACAAAAAAAAAAAAGAGGCAATACTCAAAAACGACGCTGTTTTCTGCAGGACGCTCTTCTCCATTCAATGCCATTTACTTTTCCTTGTATCTTTTTGCCGCAATTCTCTTTTGACCATTTTCAGTTCTTCCTGTGGCCTCCCTCGCTTGACATCTGTTTTCTTTTTTTTTTTTTTGTTTTTTTATTTGCGACAACAGGCCAAATAAATTAAAAAAAAAAACGCTTTTTTGCTTCCTTCAATTCCCTCCCGCCTTCAAGATCATTCAGTAACAACGTTCAAGATCCTTTCTGCGCCTACATGTGAGCCTGCTCCGGTAAGGCGTCATTTGTGGAGGCAACAAACAACACGCACCGTCCATTAGCCTCGCACTTCAACGGACCGTGTGGAACGGCAAAGCAGTCGCCTTCCGCCACGTGCGTCCCATTCACAACGCCCTCACCGCCCAAACAGAAGCCCAGTCCAATGTTGGGAAGATTGACACAAGTTTCGCTCGCCTTCTGTGCAACGTGTTCCATGCGGTAGAGGGAAAATTCGGTAAACCTACCCGGCGGAGAATAGCGTTGCACCTCCCATGCTTCTCCCTCGGCAGCGCGATAACGCTCATACTTTGCCCGCTCCAGGCCATTGGTATTATAATGCAACATCTCCAGCAACGTGGGAACGTCTTTCCACTTTGGAGTCAGGCCAGCACGCACAACGTTATCGCTGTTTGCCATGATTTCCACGCCATCCCCGTACAGATATGCGTGCGGCTCACTGTCTGATAAAAACAGACCCTGGCCAGGTTCCATTTGTACATAGTTAAGAAAGTACAACATCCAGCAACCAATATCATCTGGGTATTGAGACATGAGACGCAAAAAAAGACGATCTTCCGTGGAAGCCGCCTCGCCCTTTGCACTGACAGCTGCCGCATGTTCTCGAAGAGCCTTCGTGTGGACTTCGGGGTTTAGGCTGTACAGAACACGCATCATGCCCTCAATAAGATCCCCTTCACTCTCCTTTGCTGAGACAACGGCGACATTCCCGAGAAGCGTCTTCAACGGCTTCGTAGATTCAACAAGACAAAGAATTTCTTGCAGAGGACGAAAACAACAAAGAGCTTCAAATGGTGTGAGTGCCACGATCAGCTCCGGCTTGTGGTTATTGTCCTTGTATTTGCTTGGGTTCTCGCGATGAAGCTTCTCCGCCAATTTCTTATTAGGGTGCGCTTGTATAGAAAGTGCCGTCTGTACCGACAAGACCTTGAGGAGAAACGGCACATTGTTGCGCAGCTCCACGTTGCTTTGATGTTCTGGCGAGAAAAAACTGTTGGCGATACCCGGATCGCGGAGGTACTCCCCCAACAGCTGCCCGGAGAACAGTCGGGAGGGACAATTCATGTGTGTTCCGACCCACAACTCTGCGTACTTACGAGTTCCGTCCGTCTCGTGCTTCATCTTCGCCACAAAACTCTCCGCGGCAACTTTCCCCCAGTCGTAGTGCTGAACGCCGCAGTCCAACTTCACAAGCCCCACCATTTTTTTCCCTTTATTTTTGTTCGCCCTTTGCAGGGATACTGGGAAGCGGCAAAAAAAAAAAAAAAAAAAAAAAACTCACGGCAGTTGCATGCATTGCCACACACAAACACAAAAATAAAATTGACGGATATGTGAGGGCACAACAGAAAAAACAAAATAAAAAAAAAAAAAAAACATCTACAAACAAACAGAAAAAAATAAATTGATGTCCCTTTCAATTCACTCGACGCTTTCACGCAGAAATGAGGAAACAGCAATATTGCACCCCACAGAAGCAGATGAAAAAAACCCTCTTCGGCTCCTCGCGCAGAAAATAAAAAAAAAAATAAAAACAAAAATAAAAACATAAACAAATCAAAAATAAAAATAAGAACAGAAAACCTCCAGCCCCAGACCGAAAAGAAAAAAAGAAAAAAAATTTTATTAAACCAACAGCTCGGCAAAATTAAAAAATAAAGATAAAAAATCGTTCTGGTGTCTGCAGACCATTCAACCATGAGCTCTATTTCTGTTTCGCTCGTCCATAAGGACGCAGCTTCCACTCGGCACAAAACAAAGAAAGATCAGGGGGAAGCGTAGACAAAGTGGTAGCCTCTTTAGAGGGCTGTGATGTTACCTTTCCTTTCTCAGTTCTCTTCCACGCTGCCCACTTCTTCGCTGCCTCGGACACGGAAGGAATGCCGGACGTAAAACGCAGAGCACCTCTGTGAACGGACACCATACGGGGAGAAACATTGATCATTCGAAACTGTGAAAAGCGCTTTACGCGGCTCGCAGCAACGTAAATGAGATGGTCGCAGGGGAAAAATCCGCTTCCGTCAAAAAGAACCGAATGATCAAACGTTAGTCCCTGAACTTTGTGAACAGTGTAGGCGTACGCCGGAGTAAGAGGCATGGCTACGATTCGCACCGCGTAAAATCCCTCACGCTGCTCCCATGGCAACGGAAGGGAGACCCACGGAATGGCCACCTCTTTGGCATCCGAGTCCATTCGCACAACTGGAACAATCGTCCCACCATGACCATCGTTGCAGGCACCTTTTTTCTTCTGCGCCGCAGTATGTCTGTGGCTCGAGTGCCTCTTCAAATGGTTTAAGGCGGCATACTGTCCCGGTGGCAACAGAACCTTCAGGTCCGTCGGAAGAAGATGTTCAACTTGGTGTAGAGGCTGGAAGCCAACAACAGTCCCAAGCGAGCCGTTCACGTAATTTCTGTTGAGATTACGCAGCAACATGACGCGGCATCCCACCTTCAGTCGCTTGTGCTGAAGCACTTGGTCTCGTTGAATAACTTTGGCATATCGGCGCTCCAGAGAAAACAGAAGGAAACGTTTCAAAAAGTCGACCTTTCGCACCTCCCAAAGAATTGTTCCCCAATGTTTCCGGGCTGCTGCAGCTTCTTTGGATTTGGCAAGAAAATTATCGTTAAACGCGGATCGCAGTGCGGCCATCGAACTCGATGCCACACTTCTTGTCGGCCCCAAAAAGCAAACGTATACGGATAAATGATGCGAGTAACGTGAAGAAACGGGTGGTATCAGAATTCGTACAGCGCCGTTTAGCTTGCACTGCGAACAGAATTGGCGTATCAACTCCTCTGCTTGCCGACGCCAGTTCGCAGAGCGCATCGGTTTGTTGCGGAAGTGAACAACGAGCAGGTCGGGATAGGTCCTGCAATCGCCCCTTGTGGAACGCCTCGCAGATGACGTTGCCCCATTGCCACTTGTCACGTGAAACTCGCTCTTAAAGCAACGTTCCTCACCGGTTAATTCAAGCATTTTTGAAGCATTGAACGCCGTCACCGCATGCTTAACTGGAAACAGTCGAATGGCATCAGGGTCCTCAGGGTTATGCACGGCAGAACGTGAAAGTCGGTGAGTCAGAATCCCACGACGCAGTTTGTTCAGATCCTCGAGATACTTCGGATCCTCCCTCTGACGCGCCGGCTCCGAAAGCTGCAGATGAAGCAGGCAATGTTCAAAAGTAGCGCTTTCATAGACCGGACGGTCACAATAAAAACGAAGCAATTGGCGGCGGCGCTTCACAGAAAGAAGAGTAGATTCGCGTTGAAGATGGTGCGACGAAACGCCCAGTGCACAGTTCTCTTCCTGGGAAACGGTGAGCTTCTCCATCTCCGGCGTCACTCCAGTGGGTATGACGCCTTTTTTTTCCACCCCCGCACAAAAGAGACGCTCGGAGTTACCCCTAGACCACAGGCGACCGGGCATAAGCTGCAAAAAATCACCAGAAAGTATGACCTGAATTCCACCAAATGGTTTATTTTGTGATCTACCGGGAGCCATGCGTGCTGCCAAATCCAACGCCTCGATGTAACCAGCATGCAAAAGTGACACCTCATCCACAATGATAACATCCGGCACTGCCAATGACTCGGTATCGTACCAAATGTGAGGTGCAGCACCAGCCGTGGATGCATCCCTCTCATCGTCAGATGTGACAGGAACACCAAATGTACTGTGAAATGTATTCCCACCAATTCCAACTGCGGCTATGCCCGTAGACGCCGTCACCAAAACAGTTAAACCCTTCGCTTCAAGTGATTCGGCTATACAACGCAGTAAAAAGGACTTTCCTGTCCCGGCATCACCGCCAATAAACAAAGAAGCTCCATCCAAGGCAAGCCGTCGTACAATCTGCTTCTCTACAGAAAGCCATTTCTTTTCGGGTTTTTTATTTTCTTCGGCGCAAACCTTCTGCCCACATTCCTTTAATTCATCGTGCTGATGCGGCTTGGGAATCTCCATGAAATCCGGCAGCTCATTCACCAAAGATGAACATCTCGCCGAAGAATTCTTTCCGCCAGAGAATTGAGATTCATACGGTAGTTGTGATGATTGATGTTTATTGTGAATCAAATAAGAAGGACCCTCTCGGCCCACAGCGCGTGCATGCGGTCCACCGTGTCCTTTGCTCTCCTGGGGGGTGTTTTTTAAAATGACTGCTTTTCGGACCCCACGAAGGAAGGGTTCCTGCAGCAAATTCTTCAAGGGAACTGAACTTCTTAGCAGCAACGCTCCCGTGGTTCCAAACAGCATAAATATCTTGAAGCAAAAGAAAAAAAAAAAAAAAAAGAAGCCGTAAATTAAAAAAGCAAAAACAAAAAAATATATATATGAACTTATTAATAATAATAACACACCAAACAAAGGCGTTAACTTCGCATTCGCTCATTTCAATCGGCAAGCGCAGACAGTGCCTAAGAAAAGGCTACTTGACAATATTTGTTCAGCTGAGTGTCTAATAGTAACAATAATAATAATAAAAATAATCTAGCCAAGAAGGATGCATCTCAATAGGTGATCTAATACTACCATTTTGATGCGTCATGCAGTGCAGACGAGGATCGACGAACCGGCAATGGCTTTGAGGATGACTTTCTAGAGACAGACCTCGGTGCGCTTGGTTGACTCTTGTCGCCTTTTTTCTTCACGGAGAAGTGGCCTAATCGAAGGTTTGAGCGGAGGTCAAGAAGTTGCTTGTGTTCATCTGGTGAAAGGTAAATAGAGTGGCACCGTGTTTCGGGTAACGTGCATTCCCCTGTTTCCCCACGAGAGACAATAATGCCACGCAAACGCATCAGTGCAAAGACCTCCGCGCCCGTCAATACATCTAGCACTGTTCGTTGCGGAGTGGATTTGCGTGGAAGTGCGGGCTGAGCAAGTTGACAAGGGCTCCGTTGTCGGGAAGCAACAGAACTGGGACGACGCGGTATTTGGACAGATTTCTTCTGGGAAGAGGGATTTGCGGAGATTTCGCTGCGGAAAGCAGATGTAGAGCGTGAATACACATCCTTCGGCAGCGGTTTGGAGGCAACTCGGTTCTGGCAATGCCCTTTGCCATCCAGAAAAGACTGCGACAACGATGCCACTCCCGGTGAACCTGGCGATGCAAACCGTTGCTTCGCGTTACAAATGACATCGGTCGCTCCCTTTATTTTAGGGGTGGATGCTTCCACATTTTGCTGCTCTTGTTGTTCCCGTTTAGTTTTTTTCAACCCGGTCTGCGTTGTGCTGGGCAACACCTCGTTCGATGCATCGTCGGGCGCACATGTGAGAGCTCCAGAGTGGCTAGTCTGCCACAACTCCTGCGGTTTTGGGGATGGTGACTGCTCGGCACTTCCTGGACTGGAAAGCGGACTCCTGCTTGCAGCCGACTTCCGCAGCTTCTCCCGCAAACGAGCCTGAACGGCCTGAAGTGGATCAAACCCGCCGACCAACCCCGAAGTCGGCCGTGACGTTGGGGCTGCTGCGGCAGGCACATTGGAACGGTGGCCAGCACAAGAAAGAGTCGATGTGGGGACGTGAGAGGAATATAATGGAGCTCTCCCCGCCGATCTCGCAGGCTGCTGCTGGAAAGACGCCGTAGGCGCCCACGCGCTCACGTGGTATTGTGTTGTTGGGGCCGCCGGCGTCGGGTCATAATACGTGTGTCCCTGCAGGCCTATCTGCAAATTCTCCGTTGAAAAGTGCGTCGTCCTCCTACGTTCCTTGCAGCCGTTCGGCTGTGGTGTTTGGTGACTGCCGTCTCTCTGCGCCGCCTCCCGCCTGGCCAACTCCACCAGGCGGTTCATGTCCCCAGTAGATGCGGGCATTGCACTCTTCGCCGTGACGCTCCTATTGAGATCGCGTTCCACCAGCACAGGTGAATTCTGCTTATCGTCCTTTACCGCGTGAACTTCGCAGGGACGAGCGGCGTCTTCATCGAGCTGAAAACTCAGGTTGAGGTTCGCCAGGCGATGGCGCACCTCATTTATTTTGCTCTCCATTTCTGTCAACCGTGTTGAAGACATGAACTTCTCCCTCGTACCTACAAATAAACCGGAAAATAATAATAAGGGAAACAAATCAAGAATATAATAACAACAATAAAAATAAAATGCATGTAAAAGAAATCGTTACAAAGAAGCGGATACATGTGGTTGAAGATTCGATTTTTTGTTGCCGTTCTTATTGCTGACTTTACTTCAATAAACTTTGACGACAAAAACGCCTCCATTGCGGTCTCTGCCCCCCCAGTGAATCCGTATGCCGCCTCACTTACATGCCACACAACGGATCTTAGATTCCAGTTCCCTCACACAGGCAGAAATCGCTTTCC